AAGCCTTTTCTTTTAATGTCTGAGACAAGTTAAACTTTTTAGTAACAGAATTTTTGCCAACACTGATGTTGTTTCCTTGGTAAAGATTCTTATTTGCTTAATGCTTTTTTTGTAAGTCTTTGCAGAATATCAGACATGGACTATCAAAAGTTGGTTCATAGAAATGGGTAGGTGTGAGAGGGCGTACATAAAATGGGCCCTTAAAAGAGCAGGTGTAACTGGTCGAGAGAGAAGGAATAGCGGGGGAGCTGTGAGTGATAATACAAACTGAAAAGCTCTGTATTTGTGTCATAACAGAAGGAACTTATGTTGAACAAAACGAAACCGTTTGTGCTACCTATGGCATTCTTTGCTGCAGGGGGTCATACAGTTAAGCTGCTCGGGATTTTTAAAAATATGCCGTTCTAGGCACTGACTTCTGTGATTTACTTGTTTATCATCTTCAGTCCTGGTAGAGGAAATAAGTATTTAATCTCTCAAGGCTATACTCTGACTCTCCAGGCTTGTTTTGGCCTTAACTTTTGAAACTACTGTCCAACTGGTGGTAATAAAATCATTATGTGAATTTGTAGAAATGAGAATTTATTTAGGTTTATTGAGCCAAGAGAAGACAGACAAACAATGAAGAAACTGATGGGATAATCAGCTCTGTTAGGGATATAATAGAAAGGAAAAAAGCATAAATAGCAGGTCAGTTTGAGGTAGATCTGGTGGAATTAATGTGTGCTATAGAATATTCTTACTAACACTTCTAAGTGTTTTGGTGGTGTTTTTTTTTTCTTCTGTAATCAGAACCTCTAAAATTGTGGTATAACAATGTAGAAATCTTAACAGGAAAAACTCAGGAGTGGCTGGTAGTAATAGTCGACGACATGCTGAAATGTGGCAAAAAGACAAATTGAATGGGCTATAGTGCTTCTTGGCCCTGCAAAAAAATAACCAGCAGCTGCAGAGGGCATCAGTGTCTCCTAAATTTAGTGTAATGTTTCTCTCCATATAAGCAGAAATAACTAAAAGGAAGAAAGTTGTCATAGGTTATTAGGTTTTCCAAAATACCTTTGAAATAATTAAAGAAATGAGGCAATAGAATATGTAAGATGGATAAGGTTAATATAAAACAGTAGGAATGTGTGAATCCATATGCAATGCAACGAATTACATGCTTCACTAGTTAACTTCTTAGGAGAATATCACTTTGAATACTGTCTTGATGTGTGGTTCTACTTCTCCTTCCTCACCTTTCTTTTAACTCCAACATATGACATTGTAGTTTGCAGACTGATGTCAGAAATGACCAAATGCAGATATTTGCACTGTAGCATAAAGAAGGACGCTAGTTTGATAATGCTGATGAGAAAACATAAAACTTTAAGGGAAAGTGTGAGCCAAAACGATTGCTCAGTTCTATTTGGAATAAAGTTGGGGGGAGGGGAAAGGCATTTGTTCTTAGCAATGTATTTTTTGGCCATCCATTCTTTGGGATATAGTATTGCTCCAGTCTTCTGAAGCAGAGACTTGATTTTTTGATAAAGGGTGCCATTGTATTGCAAGTGTGACTTCAGCTGTTCCTGGTAGGGATAGAAACATGCCTAAAGCTGGCCAAGGTAAAAATCTTTTTGGATCTACTTGGGTACCCAGTAGATACTTCCTAAGATGTCAAAACTTCCACAGGGTGTTCCTCTTGGCTCAGTTCCAACATACCTCTTAGCTTGTGTTTTTGATCGAGATGTGTGTATCTTGAATGTCTGAGTATGCCCTCAGTTCACCTTGTAAACAGACAAATACTGGTACAAGAGGTGGTATGGGCTGTGAGGGGGAAACAGTGGTTGGTGTAGTGAGTAGGCAAAGCTGCTGCTTTCTAGTGACAGCGCTGGCTTATCCTGATGTAGAGCAAAAGCCTGTGTTGTACTGTCATCTCTGATCAGCTGTAGTTGCTGCTTTGGGCTTAGGTGAGGTTTCTTATGAGAATTCAAAGTGTTTTGGGCTCTGTGACTTTGGCTGGGTAGGACTAGAGAGGAGCAAGGAGAGGCCAGGAGGCTTGAAGTAGGGAAAAGAGAAGGGTGATCAGCAAAACAGGATGCTGGGATGGACCCATGTGTCTCAAATGTTGTCAGAATTTTTAGGTAGGGAGATATATTTCCCACTCTTTCATAAAAAAGACAGCTAACACAATTCAGCTATTTTTCGCTATAGGCTCCCCCTAGATGCTGCTAACGTTTGGAGAGGAATTGAAATTGAAGTATGGTTGATGGACATCCCCTTCTGGTTGAGTGTTCTGAAAGTTCATCAATAGGCAACCAGCTTCAAATAATTTCCTATTGGAGCTTATTCTGACAGAAAAGATGAACTACCAAACTGAAAACTGCCTGGTGGTTGCCAGCATTCAACAGCCTAATTTCAATTGTTTTATGCAAATAGAATATATCATGCCTTATACAGGGTCTTACAGAAACTTGAGATTTAGGGAAAAAAAGTCATGCCTGCAGACATTTGTGCCCTTTAACAGCTCCCACAGCAGGTTGTCCTTCTGTCAGAGCTCTGGGAGTGACAAAGGCTGGTGTGTTCAGTAGCTACACGTGCTGAAATCTGCAGGCTGTGTCATAGCTTAGTTTAACTCTGTGACCTCATCTCTGTTCAGCGGCTTCTAGTAGCTGTTCTCTGTGCTTGTCTTAGTGATTTGAGCAGGGCCCTGGTTTCTGCAGCTCTGTCAACTGACTCAGCGTGCTAATTAGTCACAAAGGAGCCGTGTTCCCGCAGGACTGGCACTTGCTCTGTTTCACGCCACTGGAACAGCTACTCAGTGGCTGTGTTTGTTTCCTTAGAGTTGCTTTCAGCTGCCCAACAGTCAGGTTAATATAGCAGACCTCACCAGTAAGGTATGGTGTGAGTAAAAGGTCTGTTTAGAAGTGCTGAAAACAGTCATGAAAAGTACTGTTGAGAAGAAAAATGTAATCAGTAAGTGTATCACTGATTGGAAGTTTATGGAAGGGCTCGGCTGTGTACTCCCAAAAATCACTTCTTGAGTTCTGGGTATTTCTTCTGTGTTCACAAAATGGAGAAAGAAAAAAACAAACAAAACAAAAACATGCCTCAAAAACCCCCCAACAATCCAAGACAAAAAACCAACACCCCACACCACCAACAAAAAAGCCCCACCCCAATCAAAAACTCCCAAACCCTTCTCTTTAAACTGTAAAAGGAGCTGTAATAACTTATTCGGAGGAGAAGGGGAAGAGAAGATAGATGAAAAACTTGATAATGGTAGTGTAGCTAAAGATGTCAGTGGCATATCCAGAGGCAGTAGAATTAAATATTCAGATTAGGACAATTAGAAAGTGTTCAAGATACAGCAGGAGGGAAAATTCAAACTTCAGCAGTGTGTTTGTCCAGTAATAATCGTGGTACGGAAGTGACTGCTGTTTTGAATGTGGGAACAGAGGACTGAGGAGACCTCCGGAGTTAGTGATTCTGTTTCCCTTTCTTTTGCTGGCAACTCTATTGTTTGGTTATTACTATAACATCATTAAGTACTGTTGAAACTCTTTTGGATCTGCCTTTCAAAAAATAGGGCGATGCAGTTAGTTCTTTTGTAAGTAGAATAGAAAAACTAATTTTATAGGAGTTAGCAGCTGAGAGAGATCAGGCAGCAACTGTAAAATACTCTCAGGTATTCAGAGGCTTAACACCAAATGCAGCAAAAGATGATTTTAGCTGTTACTGTAACTTTTTTTGTTGGAATATAAGCAAGTGTCCGAAAGACTCAAGGTAAACATGCTAGTTTTAGAAGTTTGGAATAAATGGCATGATAATTGCAGACTTAGCCGCATCTTAACTAGGAGCAGAAGGATGGTCTGGGTGGGTATTGTGGTCTGTGTTGAGTAAGTACCACCTAGATTATGTGACTGATGAAGCTCTTACAAAACTGTGGATCAGATCAGAAACAAAAGCTAATGCAGCAGGTTGGGCTGTTGACAGGTAAATGTTGTGGATAGCACGTGATGCTGCTTTTTCCAGGTGTTGTTTCGGATTCTTATACTAACATCAAAAGCACCATCCTACAGGAGGTGACATCTCTGACAATTCCATGTCAGTTTTACTTCCTGAAGGAAGGCGGCACACTCGGTGTCGTCACCCCTTGTTTTGAAGAACTGGTACTGAAAGCACTGGGGGCAAGAATCTCACAAAGCATGTGTGTAGGCCCCAGACGGAGGACTGGGAACCAGTGTAGCAGGATGCCTTGCACAATGCTGATGTAAGCGTTCACTTAGATAACTTTCCTAAACATCGTAACATTAATTTGTTTATCAGATGTAACTATAAACTTCTCTGTGAATAAGCAAGTAAAAATAATTGGCAAGTCCTTTCTATAAACTTCTCTGTGCATAAGCAAGCAAAAAGAATTGGTAAGTCCTTCCATTTTGAGTGAGTTCTGATTTTTAGGATGTGAAATCATCAGCTATCATGCAATTTTAGTTAAATATTATTTGAGGACGCTTGTTTTAAAGTAATAACTTTTACCAATACTTCTACTGAAGTAAGGCCAAGTTTCCAGAAGGTACACTGTGTGAATAGGAGGATTTAAAACTTTTAAAATTTTTGTATTTGAAAAGCAGAATCCAACTGAATTTAGGACAGTCTTTTTTTTCTATCCCAATTCCTTCCTGCTCACCAGGCCCAGCTTTATTTTTCAGAGAAGCCAGATATTCAGAAGCTACTGGAATACTTTTTGAAGACTAAATTGAAGTCATTCATACAGTTTTTAACATGGGAAGCTTTCTTTCTTTTTAGTCTGTTGGAGAATACAATTTTCATCAACTTGAGTCTAATGTACTTGTTGTTAGTCTTGTAACATACTTAGAAATATATTTGAGACTTTATAAAATATTTTGACCAAATTAAAATCAGCCTTTATTTTTGAGTGAGATGTATCTTAAATCTGTTCCTTAAGTATTAGAAAATTTTCATTGGGTACTTAATCTTTCCCCCCCCCTCTCTTGTAGTTCTCCTGCCTTTGATAGATCGCATGGGAGATGCCAAAGACCAAGTTCGAGAGCAAGCACAGAACCTTATATTGAAATTGATGGATGAAGCAGCACCGCCCATGGTATGATTCCTAAATGTAGATTCAGATGTAGGCCTCCAGTGAGCTTATGACTTATGCATGAGCTTGACTTTGAATATGTCATGATGTTATGGCGACTTTTAATGGTGGAAATGTTGAAGATATTCTCAATGGATTGACACTGATACGTTGTTCTGCTAAAGATAAAAATCTGGCACAGTGCAATTCTGTGTTTTTTGCATATCGTAGCTAAACTCTGAGTAGATGTTTTCCTGTCATGTGGCAGGACTTTGTTAATTAAAGCATGTTTGAAGCAGCCTCCTGGGTTTGAGTTTGCATAATGGGAATAAATAAGTTTCTTTATCTCCAAATTTATTTTACTTTATCTTACTCCTGCTTGAACATGTAGCAGTAGTCCTGCAGTTGAGCTGGTACATTTTAATTTAGAAAATCTGGCTTTCTAGATGTATGACAAACATGTTGTGTGAACCTTGGACAAACCGAGGTGGGGATAAGTTGCCCTCTGACTTGTCATCTTAGGTTGAAGTTTGAGTTGAGCAGTCCTTTACCGTTCTTAGCATTATGTGGCTTCGAAGTGCTAAATCTTATATTTCTACTCTGAGTCTAAAAAATGTAGGATTGTTTAACAGGGTTATATTGTTTGAGCAATGATGATATTTGGAACACTGGGGACCCTGGTTATCAGTAGGAACTTTACTATTTGACTTTTAAGTGCAGAAGTTAATAAGGAACCTCTTATTTCTTTGTGAACAAAAATGAGGCTCTTCTGTGTGCCAATTCCTGGCTTTGTGTATTCATAGATACAGGTTTGAGTGGTTGTGCACAGGGAATAAGATTTTGCAGACTTCTGCAATGAGAAAATTTTTCTCAGTTGATTTGTTTGCCTGAGAGGAAAACCAGGTAGCATGTTGGGCAACTATAGAAAAATATTTATCTCCCTTCCAACATGAGGCCTTTTCTCACATCATTTGGTCACAGATCTGACTGGGATTTAGCATCAAAGTCCAGAAGTGTCATCCATAAAGACATGCCTCTCACTTTTCACAAGATCTAATTTTGATCCTATTGATTGACAAAGAGACGTTGCAGCATTTTTTCATGCCTAAGTGCAAGTAGTTCATGAGTGACGTGTTCCTGTGCCCAAGATGCTCCCAAGTACTTGGCATGCAGACCTGAAAGTCCACCTACCTGTACGGTAATAGCATTTGGATAAATAGGCAGTAAAGCATCTTGGAGACACCTTAATTTGAACAGTTGTTGATAAAGAACGTGGTGACAGTTTCTTTCTTCCTCATCATGAAAGTTTAGATTACTGGTCTACCTTTCAGTTTTTGAAGAGTTGTTAGGCTGTACGCTGAGGTGATGGAGGGAAGGTTCCATCCCCTTTGAAGCTTACTTGCTGTGTCAGAAAGCAAGCAGGGTTCATGGGGTCCAAGGAACAGTGTGTGTAAGTACAAGAAGGTATGGCTCTTATGGCGGGAGAAACCTGGCTTCAGTTGTCTGCTTTCAGGACAGCTTATGTCTCATTAAAAATTTGGATGGAAAGCATCAATCACCCACACGGCAGGGACCAAAACAGAGGAGTCTTTCCTGTGCCTCCAACACTGAAATACAGTTTTTTAGGCTTCTTTTGCTGCAGAGGAATGTCCCTTTGGAAGAGCTGGGTGGAATAATTTTTGGGGGATAAGTCCTGTAAGTTTCTTTCCAATCAACTCATCTTGTCTGTTCTAGTGTATTGTTGAACAATATTTAATTTGTCCTGTTGTCAATTGCTTTTTCTTGTTTTAGATGTGTTTGGGTTTTGTTTTGTTTGTTTTTTAGTTACGGTTATGGGCGGGAAGGTATAAATGCGTGAATGGGACAAAGGGAGGTTGACACCAACTGTTGCTATCAAGTTGTGAGAGTTGAAATTTCAAAGCAGCTATTTGAATCTCTGTTTAGAAGAATTAAGTTCTTAAAGTAGGGTTAAATTTCCCTTCAGTCTGCTTTGTTTGTTTTAGTACTCTACAGTTCCCCCTCTACCTGTATTTTTGTACACCTAGCAAGGAGATTTCCTTTTTCCCGTGTGTGTCCGGGACAGCGGGTTAATTGGAAGGATTTTTTTTTTTCCCCATGAAGTCCTGTTCTTCGTTGTTAAGCTGTGCAGTTTTGGCAAGCCATACCCAGCTTGTCTAAGGTTTGTTTTCTCTAAATGTAATGAAGTATAAAACAAACAAACAAGAAACCGCAGATGTGACAGAATGATCGAGCTAGGCTCTAATTGGGAAACTTTGTGTGTGCCACATCGTTAGTGAAGAGGATGCAGCATTCCCTGCCCTTCCGCTGTCTGTCGTTGCCGATCAATAGCTGTGGGGCGGTGGGGCGCGGAAAGCCGAGCACCCTTGCCATCGTGCCTACCCGACGGGCGGCTCCAGATGCGTACGGGGTCGTTCCACGCCGGGGCTGGGGCCGAGGGCGGTGCCCGGCTGCGGGC